TAGCTGTAGGCTAGGGACGAGAGTAGCTGAGTAGCTGTAGGCTAGGGAAGAGAGTAGCTGAGTAGCTGGAGGCTAGGGAAGAGAGTAGCTGAGTAGCTGTAGGCTAGGGAAGAGAGTAGCTGAGTAGCTGTAGGCTAGGGAAGAGAGTAGCTGAGTAGCTGGAGGCTAGGGAAGAGAGTAGCTGAGTAGCTGGAGGCTAGGGACGAGAGTAGCTGAGTAGCTGTAGGCTAGGGAAGGGAGTAGCTGAGTAGCTGTAGGCTAGGGAAGAGAGTAGCTGAGTAGCTGTAGGCTAGGGAAGAGAGTAGCTGAGTAGCTGTAGGCTAGGGAAGAGAGTAGCTGAGTAGCTGGAGGCTAGGGAAGAGAGTAGCTGAGTAGCTGTAGGCTAGGGAAGAGAGTAGCTGAGTAGCTGTAGGCTAGGGAAGAGAGTAGCTGAGTAGCTGTAGGCTAGGGAAGAGAGTAGCTGAGTAGCTGTAGGCTAGGGAAGAGAGTAGCTGAGTAGCTGTAGGCTAGGGACGAGAGTAGCTGAGTAGCTGGAGGCTAGGGAAGAGAGTAGCTGAGTAGCTGGAGGCTAGGGAAGAGAGTAGCTGAGTAGCTGTAGGCTAGGGAAGAGAGTAGCTGAGTAGCTGTAGGCTAGGGACGAGAGTAGCTGAGTAGCTGTAGGCTAGGGAAGAGAGTAGCTGAGTAGCTGTAGGCTAGGGAAGAGAGTAGCTGAGTAGCTGTAGGCTAGGGAAGAGAGTAGCTGAGTAGCTGTAGGCTAGGGACGAGAGTAGCTGAGTAGCTGTAGGCTAGGGAAGAGAGTAGCTGATTAGCTGTAGGCTAGGGAAGAGAGTAGCTGAGTAGCTGTAGGCTAGGGACGAGAGTAGCTGAGTAGCTGTAGGCTAGGGAAGAGAGTAGCTGAGTAGCTGGAGGCTAGGGAAGAGAGTAGCTGAGTAGCTGTAGGCTAGGGAAGAGAGTAGCTGAGTAGCTGTAGGCTAGGGAAGAGAGTAGCTGAGTAGCTGGAGGCTAGGGAAGAGAGTAGCTGAGTAGCTGGAGGCTAGGGACGAGAGTAGCTGAGTAGCTGTAGGCTAGGGAAGGGAGTAGTTGAGTAGCTGTAGGCTAGGGAAGAGAGTAGCTGAGTAGCTGTAGGCTAGGGAAGAGAGTAGCTGAGTAGCTGTAGGCTAGGGAAGAGAGTAGCTGAGTAGCTGGAGGCTAGGGAAGAGAGTAGCTGAGTAGCTGTAGGCTAGGGAAGAGAGTAGCTGAGTAGCTGTAGGCTAGGGAAGAGAGTAGCTGAGTAGCTGTAGGCTAGGGACGAGAGTAACAGAGTAGCTGTAGGCTAGGGAAGAGAGTAGCTGAGTAGCTGTAGGCTAGGGAAGAGAGTAGCTGAGTAGCTGGAGGCTAGGGAAGAGAGTAGCTGAGTAGCTGTAGGCTAGGGACGAGAGTAACAGAGTAGCTGTAGGCTAGGGAAGAGAGTAGCTGAGTAGCTGGAGGCTAGGGAAGAGAGTAGCTGAGTAGCTGTAGGCTAGGGAAGAGAGTAGCTGAGTAGCTGTAGGCTAGGGAAGAGAGTAGCTGAGTAGCTGTAGGCTAGGGAAGAGAGTAGCTGAGTAGCTGTAGGCTAGGGAAGAGAGTAGCTGAGTAGCTGTAGGCTAGGGACGAGAGTAGCTGAGTAGCTGGAGGCTAGGGAAGAGAGTAGCTGAGTAGCTGGAGGCTAGGGAAGAGAGTAGCTGAGTAGCTGTAGGCTAGGGAAGAGAGTAGCTGAGTAGCTGTAGGCTAGGGAAGAGAGTAGCTGAGTAGCTGTAGGCTAGGGAAGAGAGTAGCTGAGTAGCTGTAGGCTAGGGAAGAGAGTAGCTGAGTAGCTGTAGGCTAGGGACGAGAGTAGCTGAGTAGCTGTAGGCTAGGGAAGAGAGTAGCTGAGTAGCTGTAGGCTAGGGAAGAGAGTAGCTGAGTAGCTGTAGGCTAGGGAAGAGAGTAGCTGAGTAGCTGTAGGCTAGGGACGAGAGTAGCTGAGTAGCTGTAGGCTAGGGAAGAGAGTAGCTGAGTAGCTGTAGGCTAGGGAAGAGAGTAGCTGAGTAGCTGTAGGCTAGGGACGAGAGTAGCTGAGTAGCTGTAGGCTAGGGAAGAGAGTAGCTGATTAGCTGTAGGCTAGGGAAGAGAGTAGCTGAGTAGCTGTAGGCTAGGGACGAGAGTAGCTGAGTAGCTGTAGGCTAGGGAAGAGAGTAGCTGAGTAGCTGGAGGCTAGGGAAGAGAGTAGCTGAGTAGCTGTAGGCTAGGGAAGAGAGTAGCTGAGTAGCTGTAGGCTAGGGAAGAGAGTAGCTGAGTAGCTGGAGGCTAGGGAAGAGAGTAGCTGAGTAGCTGGAGGCTAGGGACGAGAGTAGCTGAGTAGCTGTAGGCTAGGGAAGGGAGTAGCTGAGTAGCTGTAGGCTAGGGACGAGAGTAGCTGAGTAGCTGTAGGCTAGGGAAGAGAGTAGCTGAGTAGCTGTAGGCTAGGGAAGAGAGTAGCTGAGTAGCTGTAGGCTAGGGAAGAGAGTAGCTGAGTAGCTGGAGGCTAGGGAAGAGAGTAGCTGAGTAGCTGGAGGCTAGGGAAGAGAGTAGCTGAGTAGCTGTAGGCTAGGGAAGAGAGTAGCTGAGTAGCTGTAGGCTAGGGAAGAGAGTAGCTGAGTAGCTGTAGGCTAGGGAAGAGAGTAGCTGAGTAGCTGTAGGCTAGGGAAGAGAGTAGCTTAGTAGCTGTAGGCTAGGACGAGAGTAGCTGAGTAGCTGGAGGCTAGGGAAAGAGAGTAGCTGAGTAGCTGGAGGCTAGGGAAGAGAGTAGCTGAGTAGCTGTAGGCTAGGGAAGAGAGTAGCTGAGTAGCTGTAGGCTAGGGACGAGAGTAGCTGAGTAGCTGTAGGCTAGGGAAGAGAGTAGCTGAGTAGCTGTAGGCTAGGGAAGAGAGTAGCTGAGTAGCTGTAGGCTAGGGAAGAGAGTAGCTGAGTAGCTGTAGGCTAGGGACGAGAGTAGCTGAGTAGCTGTAGGCTAGGGAAGAGAGTAGCTGATTAGCTGTAGGCTAGGGAAGAGATGTAGCTGAGTAGCTGTAGGCTAGGGACGAGAGTAGCTGAGTAGCTGTAGGCTAGGGAAGAGAGTAGCTGAGTAGCTGGAGGCTAGGGAAGAGAGTAGCTGAGTAGCTGTAGGCTAGGGAAGAGAGTAGCTGAGTAGCTGTAGGCTAGGGAAGAGAGTAGCTGAGTAGCTGGAGGCTAGGGAAGAGAGTAGCTGAGTAGCTGGAGGCTAGGGACGAGAGTAGCTGAGTAGCTGTAGGCTAGGGAAGGGAGTAGCTGAGTAGCTGTAGGCTAGGGAAGAGAGTAGCTGAGTAGCTGTAGGCTAGGGAAGAGAGTAGCTGAGTAGCTGTAGGCTAGGGAAGAGAGTAGCTGAGTAGCTGGAGGCTAGGGAAGAGAGTAGCTGAGTAGCTGTAGGCTAGGGAAGAGAGTAGCTGAGTAGCTGTAGGCTAGGGAAGAGAGTAGCTGAGTAGCTGTAGGCTAGGGAAGAGAGTAGCTGAGTAGCTGTAGGCTAGGGACGAGAGTAGCTGAGTAGCTGGAGGCTAGGGAAGAGAGTAGCTGAGTAGCTGGAGGCTAGGGAAGAGAGTAGCTGAGTAGCTGTAGGCTAGGGAAGAGAGTAGCTGAGTAGCTGTAGGCTAGGGAAGAGAGTAGCTGAGTAGCTGTAGGCTAGGGAAGAGAGTAGCTGAGTAGCTGTAGGCTAGGGACGAGAGTAACAGAGTAGCTGTAGGCTAGGGAAGAGAGTAGCTGAGTAGCTGTAGGCTAGGGAAGAGAGTAGCTGAGTAGCTGGAGGCTAGGGAAGAGAGTAGCTGAGTAGCTGTAGGCTAGGGACGAGAGTAACAGAGTAGCTGTAGGCTAGGGAAGAGAGTAGCTGAGTAGCTGGAGGCTAGGGAAGAGAGTAGCTGAGTAGCTGTAGGCTAGGGAAGAGAGTAGCTGAGTAGCTGTAGGCTAGGGAAGAGAGTAGCTGAGTAGCTGTAGGCTAGGGAAGAGAGTAGCTGAGTAGCTGTAGGCTAGGGAAGAGAGTAGCTGAGTAGCTGTAGGCTAGGGACGAGAGTAGCTGAGTAGCTGGAGGCTAGGGAAGAGAGTAGCTGAGTAGCTGGAGGCTAGGGAAGAGAGTAGCTGAGTAGCTGTAGGCTAGGGAAGAGAGTAGCTGAGTAGCTGTAGGCTAGGGAAGAGAGTAGCTGAGTAGCTGTAGGCTAGGGAAGAGAGTAGCTGAGTAGCTGTAGGCTAGGGACGAGAGTAGTTGAGTAGCTGGAGGCTAGGGAAGAGAGTAGCTGAGTAGCTGTAGGCTAGGGACGAGAGTAACAGAGTAGCTGGAGGCTAGGGAAGAGAGTAGCTGAGTAGCTGTAGGCTAGGGACGAGAGTAACAGAGTAGCTGTAGGCTAGGGAAGGAGAGAAATGAGAATAGAGCCGGAGGCTGTACCTGCCTAGGTTGTGTGTGTGGGACTGTCTCCCCAGTGAGTCCTGAGGACTAGTGTCATCGGAATAAAAGCGTGTGGCCTATACGACGTGTCGGTCTCATTCAAGAATACTACACATGCATGACATACAACACAGATGGAATTACAGTCCTCTCTCTTGGTCCCACGGTGCAACCAAGCAATAAAAAAATTAATCACAATTAACAGACATAAATAAACAATCAACAATCGGCGATCAACACAAGATGAATAATCAAAAATGTAATAAACTTAAAATAAACAACAGTCAAGAATTTTTTAAAATGTAAAATATTATTTAAATAAAGTATTTAAAGAAATAAGATATTGAAACCAGTGTGGTAGTGCGATGTAGTGCAATGTGCAGTCCAGAGATCAGGATGTACGAGTGAATGTGTGTGTGGGGGATGGGGTCAGGGGGCAAAGGGGGGGTGGGTGGGCATAGGAGGAGGGGGCTCTCTGCCTCTGCTAAGTAAGGGAGACTGCTCAGTCAGCCGTGTTGACGTGAGTTGATGGTGGCGATGTGGAACAATGAGAAGCCAACTCTGTGACCTGGCTTACCAGGTCTTGGATGGCTTCCGATCCCTGTATAGTGCCAAACAGCTTGATGGTGTCAAATGCCATGTAGTAGGAAGCCATCAATCTACCGACATCTGTGCAACATAAAACCATTTTTGTTGAAATAGCAAAACATTAAAAGAAAGTTTCGATTTAAAGCTTTCGTGACTGCAGGGATTCATCTTCTTGGTTCTTTCGGTAAAGTCACGTAGAAGGGAAGTAATAAAATAATAAAAATAAAACATAATAAAACAATTCTCACGACGTTTCGGCCACAACGCAAGCAGCCGTCCTCAGGTGAAAACCAGGTCCGTCGAGGCGACAGAGTCTGAATGAAACAGCGCACGAGCTTGGAGCATCTATATAAGCTGGGCGCATTGACAAAGGAATTTGCATATCAACAGGAATTTAGCATATTTATGGGAAATGCAGGAATGTGATTAGTACTGCATATGCATGTGCATTATGCAGGATTAACAGCATCAAAGGGAGCTGCAGTTACTGCTGCTGCAGCAGTTGCTGCTGCTGCTGCAGTTTCTGCTGCTGCTGCAGTTGCTGCTGCTGCTGCAGTTGCTGCTGCTGCTGCACTTGCTGCTGCTGCTGCACTTGCTGCTGCTGCTGCACTTGCTGCTGCTGCTGCACTTGCTGCTGCTGCTGCTGCACTTGCTGCTGCTGCTGCAGTTGCTGCCTTATCCATTTTAATATAACACTATGTATTATTCTACCCACCCTAATGTGTATCATACTGCTATATGTTTACTGTACAATTACGACACCATACATTACTCTGCACACTGCACCATGCCAGTGAGTGGAACGCGGTCTGAAAGTCACCGTTAACGTGAACACAATCAGTTAAGATCCGAAATGGTTTATTACGTCCTTCCAATGATTGCTAAGCCAGAATCCATCTTCTCGGTTGAAATTGTCTCTGTGTTTGTATATGTGGATCGCCTCATGAACGAATCTCTCATGATAGCCAGATGGCTTGCAGAGAACCTCTGTCTTGGAGAAGTCAATGTCATGTGAGCCCACTGAATTGTAACAGTGATCTGCCACGGCTGAGGTGTTTGTCCTACCGTGTTTCAGGTCTGCCTTATGTTCACGGATGCGGTCCGAGACATGTCGTTTGGTTTCTCCAATGTAACTGCTACCACAGAGGCAACTTAGTTTGTAGACGCCAGGGTACTGTATGTCTGGAACCACATCTTTTACAGACGGGACCAGATCACGGATTTTATGTACTGTGTTGAATCGGACCTGGATCTTGTGTTTAATCAGGATTTTGGAGATCTTTTTTGTGACCCCAGCAATGTAGGGTAAGGTGATGGTCTTGAAAGGCTCCTCAACAGGATCCTTCTTGATGGTTGGAGTGATGGCTTTGCGGATTGTGTAGTCGGAGTAACCATTAGCCTTAAGAGCTTGGCGTACGTGTTTGAGTTCACTGGAAATGTGTTCATGGTCGGAGATGCATTGGGCTCTATGATATAGAGTCTTGATGAGGGAATTCTTCTGGGATGGATGGTGGTGGGAATCCCGACCATGAACACATTTCCAGTGAACTCAAACACGTACGCCAAGCTCTTAAGGCTAATGGTTACTCCGACTACACAATCCGCAAAGCCATCACTCCAACCATCAAGAAGGATCCTGTTGAGGAGCCTTTCAAGACCATCACCTTACCCTACATTGCTGGGGTCACAAAAAAGATCTCCAAAATCCTGATTAAACACAAGATCCAGGTCCGATTCAACACAGTACATAAAATCCGTGATCTGGTCCCGTCTGTAAAAGATGTGGTTCCAGACATACAGTACCCTGGCGTCTACAAACTAAGTTGCCTCTGTGGTAGCAGTTACATTGGAGAAACCAAACGACATGTCTCGGACCGCATCCGTGAACATAAGGCAGACCTGAAACACGGTAGGACAAACACCTCAGCCGTGGCAGATCACTGTTACAATTCAGTGGGCTCACATGACATTGACTTCTCCAAGACAGAGGTTCTCTGCAAGCCATCTGGCTATCATGAGAGATTCGTTCATGAGGCGATCCACATATACAAACACAGAGACAATTTCAACCGAGAAGATGGATTCTGGCTTAGCAATCATTGGAAGGACGTAATAAACCATTTCGGATCTTAACTGATTGTGTTCACGTTAACGGTGACTTTCAGACCGCGTTCCACTCACTGGCATGGTGCAGTGTGCAGAGTAATGTATGGTGTCGTAATTGTACAGTAAACATATAGCAGTATGATACACATTAGGGTGGGTAGAATAATACATAGTGTTATATTAAAATGGATAGGGCAGCAACTGCAGCAGCAGCAGCAAGTGCAGCAGCAGCAGCAGCAAGTGCAGCAGCAGCAGCAAGTGCAGCAGCAGCAGCAAGTGCAGCAGCAGCAGCAACTGCAGCAGCAGCAGAAACTGCAGCAGCAGCAGCAACTGCTGCAGCAGCAGTAACTGCAGCTCCCTTTGATGCTGTTAATCCTGCATAATGCACATGCATATGCAGTACTAATCACATTCCTGCATTTCCCATAAATATGCTAAATTCCTGTTGATATGCAAATTCCTTTGTCAATGCGCCCAGCTTATATATATGCTCCAAGCCCGTGTGCTGTTTCATTCAGACTCTGTCGCCTCGACGGACCTGGTTTTCACCTGAGGACGGCTGCTTGCGTTGTGGCCGAAACGTCGTGAGAATTGTTTTATTATGTTTTATTTTTATTATTTTATTACTTCCCTTCTACGTGACTTTACCGAAAGAACCAAGAAGATTAAAAGAAAGGCAAAGGAGGTCCCATGATGTGTCAAAAATTAACCCGTAACAATCAAAGTTTTTCACTATAAATCCTTTATATGCGTGGCATCGGCTAGAGTCCTCTCGTCCTCTGGCTTGAGATGGCTGCCACCTATGGGTCAGATGATTGCCTGCCACCATTAAGCAATTGGTAATTAAATATAAAAAAAATCTTAAAAAGTGTAAAATTTTGGAAAAAATTTTTCACGAACATACATTGTCACGCACAACGAGTCTATGTGGAAAATGTCAGCTCGATTGGATCACGGGAAGTGGGTTAAAAAACGACCGAAAGATTTGCACGGTCGTAAGCAAGCAAGCACTCAAGCAAGCAAGCGAACTTAATATAAAGGATTTAAAAATAAACTTAAATTAAATGCCAGGGTACCGGTGGCTATACTTCATGCCTGTAATACAGGGTGGCTCGATCAAACACAAATTCTAGATTTGAAGCTTTCGTGACTGCAAGGATTCATATTCTTAGGTTTTTTCGGTAAAGTCACGTAGGTAAAAAATGTAAAATTAATAAAATAAAATAAAAATCACGACGTTTCGGAGGCAACACAAGCTTCCGTCTTCAGGAGGTACCGTCACAGCCACGACAGCCGTATCAAGTAGATGAGAGATTGCAAGAGATACCACTCTTTTTATTAAACCAACCATTATATATATACGGAGTGGTAGCTCTTGTAATCTCTCATTTACTTGATGCAGCTGTCGTGGCTGTGACGGTTCCACCTGAAGACGGAAGCTTGTGTTGCCTCCGAAACGCCGTGATTTTTATTTTATTTTACTTTTATTCATTTTAATTTTTTACCTACACGGTGACTTTACCGAAAAAACCTAAGAATACAAACACAAATTGTAAAAACTCCCTTCCCAAGGTCGCCAATATCGCCATATGCTTGGCTTGCCAGGGTATGGCAGAAGAGCAAATTCGTGACATCCATATGCACGGATATTGAGTTACTACCCCTGGCACACGTACGTTTTTGTTCCATGCACAGACGCTCATTAACATTATAAAGGACTCTTCTCACCCTGGACACTCACTGTTTGAGCTGTTGCCATCAGGCAGACGATTCAGATCGGTCAAAACAAGGACAAACAGATTCAAACAGAGCTTTTATCCTACAGCGATCAGCACACTCAATAATGCTAATTAATGATTAAGTAATAGCGTTTACAATTGACTGTGTAATAGAGATGTGCAATGACAAAATGTGACCTTATGTGGGTATGTGGGTATACTTGGGCTGTTTTTATATATAGTATAAATTGATTATCTTTCATTTAATTTTATTTTTATTTTCTTGTTTTATTCAATTTAAATTTATGAATGATGCCCTGACTGGTGAGCATTTTAAATTTCGTTGTACTGGTGACAATGACAATAAACGATCTATATTGCATATTGCTATAATTCATGGAGTTGGCGAAACATCCCAATATAGCGGCACAGGGCGTGGGCAGTTGTTGGCAAATGCTCTCACTGCCTCCCCTGCTGGTCTGTGCGTTTCCTCCTGTGACTCCGTTAGGAAGCTGTGCACGTTACAAATTCTACAGCACCTTCTGAGATTTGCACTGATGACTGGACACTATATACGAATAAAATGTGAAATGACATTATGTTTTTTCATCACAAATAGAGAAAATAAACACGTAGTAATAATAATAAGCAGAATGATGAATTACCTGTTGGCTTAATATATCCGTTCTGCATACAAATTAGCTTGTAAGTGGCCAGTGAGTTCAAACTCTCTAAGCATAGTTCTGAAATAAAGAATGCAAAATAAACATTGACGTCGTTGTGGACAATACAACCAATGAACTAAGCAGGTCATCAGCCTTCCCATATTTGTTAAAATCTAAAATATGCTCGACACATTCATAGCTAACAGAGCAGATCCCTGCCTAGTGACGTCTGGCAGGTCACTAATATTGGTTCAAGCCAGCCTGACGGCTTATACATTGAATGTCGAAACAGGTCCAGATTTTTCTTCTTGGCGCTTTCGGTAAAGTCACGTAGAAGGGAAACAATAAAATAAAAAATATATAAAACAATAAAATGCTCACGACGTTTCGATCGCAACACAAGCAATCATCATCAGGTGTGAAAAACACAGCAAAAAAAAAATGGAAAAAACCGGCACTTATTTTTTTTCTAATTTTCTTGCTGTGGTTTTCACACCTGATGATGATTGCTTGTGTTGCAATCGAAACTTCGTGAGCATTGTCTACGATCATTCCTGTAAAATTACAGTTTGATGTGAAATTGCGTTAATATCACTATACCTTGCAGAAGTTTCTTCTCAATATCCTCTTTGCTCAGACCAGCGGCAAATTCTGTATCAGTGATTCACACAGAGTGCATTTATTTGTCAGTATGCTGCCTTTTTATGCATCGCTTGAGATGTACTTAAAATGACTTTAACAGGTGAATATCTTGTCATAAATTTTGATTTAAAGCTTCTTTCCTGACTGCAGGGATTCATCTTCTTGGTTCTTTCGGTAAAGTCACGTAGAAGGGAAGTAACATTTTTTTTATATTATTATATTATATTATTATATTATATTATTATATTATTTTATTATATTATATTATAATATTATATTATTTTATTATATTATTATATTATATTATTAAATTATATTATTATATTATTATATTATATTATTAAATCATATTATTATATTATATTATTTTATATTATTAAATTATATTATTATATTATATTATTAAATTATATTATTATATTATATATTATTACATTATTAATTATATTACTATATTATTTTATTATATTATATTATTAAATTATATTATTATATTATTTTATATTATTAAATTATATTATTATATTATTTTATTATATTATTATATTATATTATTTTATTATATTATTTTATTATATTATATTATTTTATTATATTATATTATTTAATTATATTATTATATTATTTTATTATATTGTATTCTAATTATTTTATTACTTCCCTTCTACGTGACTTTATCTTGTCATAGTCAAAACTATTTAAACACTTGATGTCAATGAACAAACTCTAAATTGTCAGAATGTTTAACATTGACCCCTTACAAATACACTCTAATTATGTCCTTTGTACTTCATAACATTCAAACATGTTATTCCTCACAGCAATCGTGGCTGTGAAGGTTCCACCTGAAGACGGAAGCTTGTGTTGCCTCCGAAACGTCGTGATTTTTATTTTACTTTCATTAATTTTATTTTTATTTTTTACCTACACGGTGACTTTACAAAAAAACCTAAGAGTATACTATCACACACATTAGCGATTCAAGAGGCAACGCTATTTTTTTTTGCATCTGTCACGCGAATATTGTACGTTTTCATTTTGAATTGCAAATGCATTTCTTACTGTAATACTTGGGTTTTTGAGTGCCCGAACGTACAGGAATGTGGATCGGATCCAATCCAATGCCACGTTGACATCTGTGATCGTGTGCAAGACGATCTCTGCATTGAGGTGCTCTGTTAGATTCATGTGCAAACTGCAGGAGACCGAAGGTGTTGACAAATTAACGGTACATAGCAGAGGTGGGACAAAGTCATTGTTATGCAAGTCCAAGTGGAGTCTGAAGTCATCAAATTCATGACTCGAGTCTGACTCGAGTCCAAGTCACATGACTCGAGTCCACACCAGCTCAGAGGTGGGACAAAGTCATTGTTATGCAAGTCCAAGTGGAGTCTGAAGTCATCAAATTCATGACTCGAGTCTGACTCGAGTCCAAGTCACATGACTCGAGTCCACACCAGCTCAGAGGTGGGACAAAGTCATTGTTATGCAAGTCCAAGTCGGAGTCTGAAGTCATCAAATTCATGACTCGAGTCTGACTCGAGTCCAAGTCACATGACTCGAGTCCACACCAGCTCAGAGGTGGGACAAAGTCATTGTTATGCAAGTCCAAGTCGAGTCTGAAGTCATCAAATTCATGACTCGAGTCTGACTCGAGTCCAAGTCACATGACTCGAGTCCACACCAGCTCAGAGGTGGGACAAAGTCATTGTTATGCAAGTCCAAGTCGAGTCTGAAGTCATCAAATTCATGACTCGAGTCTGACTCGAGTCCAAGTCACATGACTCGAGTCCACACCAGCTCAGAGGTGGGACAAAGTCATTGTTATGCAAGTCCAAGTCGAGTCTGAAGTCATCAAATTCATGACTCGAGTCTGACTCGAGTCCAAGTCACATGACTCGAGTCCACACCAGCTCAGAGGTGGGACAAAGTCATTGTTATGCAGTCCAAGTCGAGTCTGAAGTCATCAAATTCATGACTCGAGTCTGACTCGAGTCCAGTCACATGACTCGAGTCCACACCAGCTCAGAGGTGGGACAAAGTCATTGTTATGCAAGTCCAAGTCGAGTCTGAAGTCATCAAATTCATGACTCGAGTCTGACTCGAGTCCAAGTCACATGACTCGAGTCCACACCAGCTCAGAGGTGGGACAAAGTCATTGTTATGCAAGTCCAAGTCGAGTCTGAAGTCATCAAATTCATGACTCGAGTCTGACTCGAGTCCAAGTCACATGACTCGAGTCCACACCAGCTCAGAGGTGGGACAAAGTCATTGTTATGCAAGTCCAAGTCGAGTCTGAAGTCATCAAATTCATGACTCGAGTCTGACTCGAGTCCAAGTCACATGACTCGAGTCCACACCAGCTCAGAGGTGGGACAAAAGTCATTGTTATGCAAGTCCAAGTCGAGTCTGAAGTCATCAAATTCATCGACTCGAGTCTGACTCGAGTCCAAGTCACAGGACTCGAGTCCACACCAGCTCAGAGGGTGGGACAAAGTCATTGTTATGCAAGTCCAAGTCGAGTCTGAAGTCATCAAATTCATGACTCGAGTCTGACTCGAGTCCAAGTCACATGACTCGAGTCCACACCAGCTCAGAGGTGGGACAAAGTCATTGTTATGCAAGTCCAAGTCGAGTCTGAAGTCATCAAATTCATGACTCGAGTCTGACTCGAGTCCAAGTCACATGACTCGAGTCCACACCAGCTCAGAGGTGGGACAAAGTCATTGTTATGCAAGTCCAAGTCGAGTCTGAAGTCATCAAATTCATGACTCGAGTCTGACTCGAGTCCAAGTCACATGACTCGAGTCCACACCAGCTCAGAGGTGGGACAAAGTCATTGTTATGCAAGTCCAAGTCGAGTCTGAAGTCATCAAATTCATGACTCGAGTCTGACTCGAGTCCAAGTCACATGACTCGAGTCCACACCAGCTCAGAGGTGGGACAAAAGTCATTGTTATGCAAGTCCAAGTCGAGTCTGAAGTCATCAAATTCATGACTCGAGTCTGACTCGAGTCCAAGTCACATGACTCGAGTCCACACCAGCTCAGAGGTGGGACAAAGTCATTGTTATGCAAGTCCAAGTCGAGTCTGAAGTCATAAATTCATGACTCGAGTCTGACTCGAGTCCAAGTCACATGACTCGAGTCCACACCAGCTCAGAGGTGGGACAAAGTCATTGTTATGCAAGTCCAAGTCGAGTCTGAAGTCATCAAATTCATGACTCGAGTCTGACTCGAGTCCAAGTCACATGACTCGAGTCCACACCAGCTCAGAGGTGGGACAAAGTCATTGTTATGCAAGTCCAAGTCGAGTCTGAAGTCATCAAATTCATGACTCGAGTCTGACTCGAGTCCAAGTCACATGACTCGAGTCCACACCAGCTCAGAGGTGGGACAAAGTCATTGTTATGCAAGTCCAGTCGAGTCTGAAGTCATCAAATTCATGACTCGAGTCTGACTCGAGTCCAAGTCACATGACCTCGATTCCACACCAGCTCAGAGGTGGGACAAAGTCATTGTTATGCAAGTCCAAGTCGAGTCTGAAGTCATCAAATTCATGACTCGAGTCTGACTCGAGTCCAAGTCACATGACTCGAGTCCACACCAGCTCAGAGGTGGGACAAAGTCATTGTTATGCAAGTCCAAGTCGAGTCTGAAGTCATCAAATTCATGACTCGAGTCTGACTCGAGTCCAAGTCACATGACTCGAGTCCACACCAGCTCAGAGGTGGGACAAAGTCATTGTTATGCAAGTCCAAGTCGAGTCTGAAGTCATCAAATTCATGACTCGAGTCTGACTCGAGTCCAAGTCACATGACTCGAGTCCACACCAGCTCAGAGGTGGGACAAAGTCATTGTTAGTGCAAGTCCAAGTCGAGTCTGAAGTCATCAAATTCATGACTCGAGTCTGACTCGAGTCCCAAGGTCACATGACTCGAGTCCACACCAGCTCAGAGGTGGGACAAAGTCATTGTTATGCAAGTCCAAGTCGAGTCTGA